ATAAAAATAAATAAAACAATAGTCTAACATTATTTTTCACCCTTTGCTACATATGATTATGAAAAATAATCAAGAGAGATAACTATTGAAGAACCCTTATTGAACAAAAGCTTAATGGCATATAAAATGAGAACTAATTTCTAACCAATTAGTTCTTTTTGTTTGATATTGAATCCTTATAAAATAAGCTATCAAAAGTTGCCATATAAGTTCTCCATAACATTAAGAACTCTTTATAATAAATGAAATCCATAACTATTAAGGAAACACTGGTTTTTCTTTTTTTTTTCTTTTTACACTTTGCTGACAAGTTCTAGACTTAACTTCAAACATATCATTTTTTTTTTTGTACAAATGAATTAGAGGACCTACTATATATAATTGAAAATGTACAAATGTCTAGTTTTCAATTCAATTAGAATAGCATCCAACCTCATTTTTTAGCTTTATATATGACCTAAAAAGTATATAGAGGTCTAAATTGGCATATTTGAATATTTTTAACCCAATCTTCTTGATTTAGCCCTTTGAACTTGTTTTAAATCCACTTCAATTTAGGCCTTATAATAGACACAATGGATACTCCTAATGGATTCTTTGATGTTGTAGCCAAGAGTACATCATTAACACAATCAAAAAATTAATGTCTTCTTCCAAGTGCAGGAGTGTCGAAGTAATAAATAACCAGGCAAGACTAGAGTCGAACCACAGGGAGGTTAACTATATAAATTATAAATAATGATGATGATTGAAGAGAACTTTAAGATATAAGATTAATATAAGGATTAAACAAGAATAAAATAATTATTACGGTTAGAGGATCTACCAATGATATTTCAAACAAGTATAATATAAAATCTTTTTATTACTCAACTGGAAACCACGCACAAAGGAGGTTCCAATCGGATTATAAATTGTTAACATGATTACATTATTTATCTTATTTAAATAATGCTAATACTTGTAAATGTTGTTAGGAATTCATTATTATAATATATGTTAACTATAAATCAAGTTCCTTTCATAGCATAGGTGTCGGTTATACCATACAATTAGGCTATAAAAGTGTTAAGTATTTGTTGTACCAAGTGTTATACAACACAAATCTAGACTAATAATTTAATAAGCAAAGTATTAAAAGTGAACAAGATAACAAATACAAAACATGTTA